CTCACCTCCCCTGCACCCTCATGCGGCCCGGCTATGGCTGCCAGTGCCCTGCACGCAGGCAGCGCCCTACCGCCTAGCGCTGGCCTGCCCTGTCTTAGCGCAGCGCTGCTCTGCATAGCGCTGCACACTTGCATCTGCGCAGCGTGCCCGCATATGCCAGCATTGGCCAAGATCCCCGCTGCCTCGCCCTGCTTGCCTATATGCCAGTGCAGCATGTGGGCGGCCTCCCTTCATCCTGTGACCGGGGCCCAGAGGCTGAAGCCAACTCGATACAGTTGGGCCCCGGGGCAATGCAGTTGCGCCTCCTTCATCGAGGCCTGCGGCCAGATTCAGACAGTGGGCCGATTTCCCTTTGGCATTTTCGGCCTCTCTACCCAGCATGCATTGTCGGCCTCACGTTCGAGTGGCCAGGGCCTAACTAACTCAGAGGACCTGGGCATTTCAGCATTTGCTGAAATCCGAGACTCGGTGCACTCCAACCAACTGGCGTGCTGCAACTGTATAGACCCCACTTCGTGAAATGTTGGCAYAGAGGRCTCTTGTTGATTTGCTSGCCCGCCTTCACTTAGGGCGGGCACTAGGCTTGCTGGGGCCTTAGCCCAGAACATGTACATCATGGCAAGGCCCCTACTTGAGGGCTCAATCCTCACACGATGCTCATTCATATACATTTAGTAGTTCTGCACGAGGGGAGGGAACGAGGGGAGGGAGGAGTATGTTTGTGTCATCGTGTTTGCTATACACGACTCCACAAAAACGATATCACAGTGCCAGACTGTTTTATCGCACTTCCACCGACTCATCAGGACATTGTGTGCATGTGTGTGTCGTTATAGCACCCCACATCCTCTCTCTCATTTCCTCTACAAATCATAACAAACCATCCATCCATAACAAAACAGTATGGATAGCTAATATAATAGAAAAGGTTCAGCGCCAAGTGCCCACACACCCATCTGCCGCCGAAGCGACACACTTGCACATATACATATATACCATACCTGCGGCGCATCATGTGCGCGCAAGTTGTGCACGTGCAGCACATGCATGCATGCGCACAATGCGGCACATGATGCGGCACACTCCAATAAATAAGGTCAATAAAAAAACTCAGAAAGGGCAGGCTGTGGTAGCCGAACATGCCCCTCCCTTCTGAAAATTCTAAGTGAACAGGGAAAAAACAAATGGGCCCACATCGTACTCCTCGTTGGATTCAGTCTCATTACCGAAAGGCCCCCAGCAGGAAATCAGCAAGGGTCGTATTTAGGAACACAGACGTTCATCGAATTCTGGGTGAGACACGAGCAGGCCAACAATATATGTTCTGGAATCTGGATTCGAATTCAGGCCTGTGTTCCAGCAGTTATGGGTTACTACTACTTACTACTGTAGCTCTCTCTTCTTTTTGTTTTTCCTTTTCTTACGTGCAGTGGCCCTAAAGGCCTCGTGCCACTGGTCACCGCTTGCATAAAAGACAAAACATATGGTGGCGAAGATTCATTCTAATTTTGCACATTTGGTGAGTAGTGGAGTGAAGCCCGGAAAATCACATGCTGAGTTACAAACTTAGTGACCCATAACTGCGGAGTCACGGACCTGAATTCGAATCTATGTCACAGCCCCTCATTTGTTGTCCTCTTCTTCCCTCTCTGCCTACGGTTTACCGGGCACCTCTGTTTGAATATATAGTTGGCCTGCTACTGTCCTACTATGAGGCCCACAACTGCCTCTTACTTGGCGAGGAAACCCTTGTTAGTTATCTGCAGGGTCTTTTCGGATTGCCCGCAGAGGTTTTCGATTTATGTGAAAGGGCTCTCTCTCTCTCTCTCTCTCTCTCTCTCTCTCTCTCTCTCTCTCTCGTGAGCGCGCGCGCGTGTATACACACATCCCGACCGCTTTCTTTCTTTTGAATCTTTTTCTTCTTCGACTTTTTTTTTTTTTTTTTTTTTTTTTCTGCGCATCAGTGATCAACGTACGCACCGCGCCACGCTCACCGCACCGCATGGTGTGCCGCAGGTACGATATATACATATATTTATTTAATCCATAAAAGGGCGGAGGGCAAGAGGCAGCTTACCTAAGACAGAGGACTCCACCAGCAAGCAAGCACCAAGTGCGTGTGTGTGTGTTGCATGTTGAGCCTGCACACGGGCCCTATTTTTGGGGCCCGATGGTTGCTGGGGGCCCCCAGGCAGCACGCCCTCAGACTCACGCTCTGGAGGCCCACGGCCGGCTTTATGTCCACAGGATTCAATTTGAGGCAGCATTCATTTATTTATTTATTTTATTTGCTGTGCTATTTTTGTCTGTTCAGGCGTCATGTCGGACTTGCAGTTCGTCCGAACAGACTTTTGGTCTGTTCGGACAAAGGCCACGTTTTGGGAGTTCTTCGTTCACAGGCAGGCCCTTTCGGGCCAGGTTCGTGTTCGTCTGGTAGGGGACACTCCCTGCTGTATCAGCAGGGATGACCTAGATGTCCAGTAGGGACCCAGGCAGGCTGTTTCAGGCCAAGGACCAGAGGCACACCAGCGAGGCCTAGCGCTATATTCAGCTGGGCCAGGCCAGGGCAGACACACAGTTCGAGTAGCTCGCTTCTTGGGCGACACGTTGCTGGAGCAGCGCGACACAGCACTGCGCCGAGGTGTAGAGGCGTAGGTAGGAGGCGTAGGTCATACCTGCTGAGGCGGTACTTACCTGGGTGCCATGGCTGGACTCCACGCCAGCGACCTGCACAGAGAGACACGCCGGTGGCAGTTAGTACATGGCGGCAGTTACCTGCAGGTGAGACAGCGAAGAGGACGACATCTTCTTCTTCTTCTTCTTAGTCTCGCCCTCCATCTCTTCTTCTCCTTCCTCCTCCTCCTTCTTTCAGAGAGAGAGAGAGAGAGAGAGAGAGAGAGAGAGAGAGAGAGAGA